TTGGGCAGGAAATATCCTCTTAAAATTACAGTCTTCTAGCTTTTCAAATTTCCAAGTTAGGGACTTATCCGAAAAAAATTTTGGCGTGCTCGCACGTGGATACCACGCATACCCGAGGGCTGGGTTTGAGCTCAGTGAGACTCAGATGGATGGGTAATATCCCCTCAAAAGTAGAGTCTTTTAGCTTTTCAAATTTTCGAGTTAGGGACTTACTCGAAAAAAACTTTGGCGGGCCCGTACGTGGATATCACGTGGGTAAGAGCGCCCATTTTGGGGCTTGGTACCCGTACGTACATGTAGATTAAGTTCCCAAACTTTCATCCCTGTAGTTTTTGCAGGTCTTGAGATGAAAAACCGTGACAGACGCACACACAGACATACACATACACACACAGAGATAAACCCTGGTCAGTATGCGTTTTCTGCATCGAATAGCTGCAAAAAACGCATAAAAAGTGGAATATTTTGCATATGTTGGTACACATTTTCGCACGACCAACTCAGATTACAACTTTTCCCGCGTTTGCTGAAAATTATGCTGCATCGCCTGGCTCGCGTCCTGTTGATTTTTCTGTCCATCGTCACTTTTTTTCTTCAGAGTAAGGTGCTTTCTTCACTGTTTCGTTCCTTCTTCACTTTTATGGTCCCATTAGCTTGCAGCCGCTGCTGCTCAATGATCAGGGTTAGTGTACAGTTTTTTTTTCCCCAAGGCATCAGGGTTCAGAGTCATGCTGGGAAAGTCTGCCCGGCGTTTCTTCAGTTCCATGTGTGGCAGATGTTGGCGCGGGACTCAGTTTTTCTCTTTCAGAACATATCGCAGAGTAAGCCCCTTAGCGATGATGAAAAATTGGCTCGCATACGCAGCAAGTACAGCAGGACGAAGATTTGCCGACCACCAGTAATGATTGAAGCAAAACCACTGATACCGGACCGCGGCAACAAATTACCAGATAAATTCTATGAGAATGTGCAGAAATTGTTTTCGTAAGTTGTTTTTAACGTCCTGCAGAATTTTGTGAAAATTCCTTTTCTGTAAGTTTTATAAATTTTACCTGAATTGAGTCGCAGCCTTTTCGATCGTTCTGTAGTTTTCATGTTTTGTCCACTTAGAGCAGAAACAATCATGCCCAAAATGGCTGTATTATTTTTCGAGAATTG